CAGGGGTTGCAAAGTTGGACATGACTGAGCGACTGAACTGAACTAGAAAAGGCAGAGGAACCAGAGGTCAAATTGCCAACATTGGTTGGATCACAAAAAAAGCAAGAGAATTCAGAAAAATGTCTACTGCTTTACTGACTATGCTAAAGCCTTTGACTGTGTGGGTCACAACAAACTATGGAAAATTCTTAAAAGAGATGGGAATACCAGATCACCTGATCTGCCTCCTGAGAAATTTGTATGCAGGTCAAGAAGCAACAGTTAGAACCAGACATGGACCAAAGGACTGGTTCCTAATTGGGAAAGAAGTACATCAAGGCTGTATATTGTCACCTTGCTTATTTAACTTATATGCAGAGTACATCATGTGAAATGCCAGGCTGGTGAAACACAGCTGGAATCAAGATTGCCGGGATATGCAAAGAAATATCAATAACCTCAGATATGCAGATGACAGCACCCTTATGACAGAAAGTGAAGAGCTAAAGAGCCTCTTGATGAAAGTGAAAGAGGAGAGTGAAAAAGTTGGCTTAAAACTCAACTTTCAAAAAAATTAAATTATGGCATTAGGTCCCATCATTCATGGCAAATAGGGAAACAATGGAAACACTGACAGACTTTTTCTTGGGCTCCAACATCACTGTAGATGGTGACTGCAGTCATGAAATTAAGACTCTTGTTCCTTGGAAGAAAAGCTATGACAACCTAGACAGCATATTAAAAAGCAGAGACATTACCAACAAAGGTTCGTATAAAAGCTATGGTTTTTCCAGTAGTCATGTATAGATGTGAGAGTTAGACCATAAAGAAAGCTGAGCGCTGAAGAACTGATGCTTTTGAACTGTGGTGTTGGATAAGACTCGAGAGTCCCTTGGACAGCAAGGAGATCAAACCAATCCATCCTTCAGGAGATCAGTCCTGAATATTCATTGGAAGGACTGATGCTGAAGCTCCAATACTTTGGCCACCTAATGCGAGGAACTGACTCATTGAAAAAGACCCTGATGCTGGAAAGATTGAAGGCAGGAAGAGAAGGGGATGATAGAGGATGAGATGGTTGGATGGCATCACTGACTTGATGGACATGAGTTTGAGCAAGCTCTGGGAGTTGGTGATGGACAGGGAAGCCTGGCATGCTGTAGTCTACAGGGTCGCAAAGAATGAACACTATTGAGTGACTGAACTGACTTTAGCTTAGTGGCTAGGAAAGCCTGACTTGTACGGATAAAGAAGGCAAGCATTCCAGGCAACAACTCGCACAAAGGCCCCTCCCATGTTTAAGCCAACTATGTGTAGTATAATCATTTTCTGTTAAGGTGAGTTTTTTTAAATTCTTCATTCAGTGACCAAAACATGACATTACTAAAAATCAAGTGATGTAAGTTGAGAAAGGAGAAGCCAAATTATGTTGGCTTTATAAGCAGTTGAGATTTTATGCTGCTTTAAGAAGCCCCTGATGGCATTTAAGGGGTAGAATGATCTAAATTTTAACAAGACCCCTGTGTTTTTCCCATTAAGACTGCCGGACAGAGAAAGCAGAAGCAGAGACCAATCAGGTGACCACTGCAATAAGTCCTGGTGAACAACGGCGGTCGATTAGACTAAGACACTAGTAAGTGGAAGTAAATGATTCTGGACATACGTTAGAAACCAAATCTCCACCCTAAGATGTCTTCAATGTCCAGGAAATTTGTAGGCTTCTTCTACAGGAAGCCTAGCACTAGAGCAGGTTCAATGACATCAAAGAACTGTTTCTCCAGGCTTTCTAATCATGTTAACCCTCAAACTGGTATGGTTGCTAGATGACTGCCACTTACAATTGAGATTAGATGCTCCCTTATTCATATGCAGAGGAAGAGCCTCCCTTTATGTGCTATTTCAAGAGCCAGAATTCCCCTTTGCAATTTTGACTGGCCCATTGTTTCACTAGGTTACACTTGGAAAATCAGTCTATCCCCTCATTCATTCATTTATACAGAAGATGAACTGGGTTTAGGGTTGGCTTGCCTTGAGTCACATGGTCTATGTGAATGAAGGATGGATATCTGAGGGGGAAATGTGTATCTGTTAGAAAAGAGGAAGAGGGAAATGGACGCTGCTAGTAGGCAAGCAATGATAACTATACAGGATATTCTTTAGAGACAGAGTTGACGAGAGTTTTTCAATGGACTGAATACTGGGAGGAAAAAGGATTCAAGATAAGTTCTAACAGTGCTGACTTCAGCATGGGGATAAAGGGGCCATCCGCTGAGATGCAGAAGACTAGAGGAAAGGTCACGTTTGAGAAAGATTATCAAGGCTTCTCTTTCACCATCTTTAAGATACCCATTAGACACTGGAGAGATGATGCAGCTGTCAGCTGAATATATGAGTTTGGGGCTTCAGGGAAAGACCGAGAATAGAGAATCAAATCACAGAGCTATTTTTGTTGTTTTAAGCACCTGAGACGGCTTGAGATTAATGTACGGATGAAGCAAGAAGTGGACCTAGGGCAGGGTCTGGACCCATACCAAGATTTAAAAGTGGAGTACGACAGAGGCAACTAAGGTAGCTAGAGAACTCTAGAACTTTAGTCCAACTCCTTAATGTCATATATGTGAATGGACTGCATGCACATCCAGTCCGGTCTGACTCTTTGCAACCCTATGGACTGTAGCCTGCCAGGCTCCTCTGTCCATGGGATTTTCCCTCCCAGCAAGAATACTGGAGTAAACTGCCATTTCCTCCTCACCCAGGGATCAAACCCGAGTCTCCTGCGTCTCCTGCATTGGCAAGCGATCTTTACCGCTGAGCCACTGGGCTGGACTATAACTAGTGTAAACTGTCAGCTCACTGCCAAAGGGTGACTAATGCTCCATCATTTACCTTACAGTTAAGCATGGGAGAGAAAAGATGCAAGTACCTTTAAAAAATATGAGGCAGATCTTGAAACACAAAAAAAGCATTATTAACACACTCCATTCTTCAAAAGAGAGGGCTCATTATCATAGTCCTCTAAGTTAAATATTCAGTGGGAGTAGTATGGCATCCAATGGCAACAATTTTAATCCAAGGCCTGATGAAAATTACTGACCATCACTGATTTCCCTGATGGCCGAGGGGTTAAGATTCCAACACTTCCACTACAGGGAGCAGGGATCTGCAGTGTGGCCAAAAAATAAATAAATATAGAAAAAATAAAAGAGGAAAACTCTTAAAAAACAAACAAAAAACCTGACCACTATTACACCTACAATTTTAATTTAAAATGATTCAATTAGAATTAAGTGATTATGAAAAACTATAATGTTAAAAACCTGGGTTCGAGTCTATATCTGGCAATTCAAAAGCACCCTTGGACCCTTTCACCTCCTGTCTTTTCTGAGATCAAGTTTTCTATTTGATAAAATGTTTACAATAAACAGGCCCTTCTTGCTTGCTTCACAGACTCATTGTGAAGATCCAAAGTCAAAGAACATCAACTAACCATAAAATCCATAGAGAGAATTTTCTTCAGCTTGTCTGGCTGGTCTACCTTCTGCCACTGATGTGCTTCATCATCCGGATGCCAAATACCAATTATCAGGTACTCAGAGAAAGCCACCTAAACTGAATTTTGAAAACTTATTAAGAACAAAACATTGAGAAACTAGAGGTAACCTATTAAAATCTCTGCCCAATTCCTATGAAATTTCAAAACTGTACCTCACCAATTTAAATTCAAGGCACAGGGGATGGCCATCCCTCTGTGTACTAATCTGACACTGTCAGGGTGACATGGAGTCTAATGATGCCCTTGTAATCACTGATCATAATACTGAGAAAACGTACATCATATTTCTTCACAAGCTACATTAGTATGGCTGCCTATGCTTCATTATATGATTAAAAAAATCATTTAAAAAAATAATTTCCGAAGTTCTTATTTTTTATTCCATCTGTTCATCTAGTAGTTTCATCTAGTAGACAAAGCAGAGGCATGCTTGTCTTAGAAGAATAAAATTATCTATGCCCAAAATAATTTCAAGGCACACCTCAAATGATATTTGAAGTGCCCAACCCTCTTTTTCATGTCAATACTATCTCATGATAAATTTCAGATACTCAAGAGTACCACTGATTCTACTTGTAAACAAGTAACACATTAAAATTTGAAAATATTCCTAATAAAAGCTATATATATTAGCTCCATTCTGAATGTTATAAGAATCCTTTACCAAATTAAACCTCCCCATTCACAAAAGCAGATGTGGCAATAGTAACCACTGTGCAGAAATTTAATTGTACTAACTGAATCTGTTACATGGTATATAAGAATGTGTATATGGAAAAAAAAAAGACTGTGTATATGTTAACAAAATATCTTGAGTCCACTTCCTCAGTTTTGACAGAGACATCATTCTTATAACTGTGGTCAAACCACTCTGGATGTTAAGTACTAATAACATTATCAACTATTATTATTATTATTATTAATGGCTCAGAAACTAATTACAGCAATTTAAAATTACTAATATTTTAAAAACACAGGTTATGAAGGGGTCACCTTAGAAATGTCAGTAAATGCCTAAGCTTTCAAAATATAGATGAAATTAAGGTTAAATGTAACTTAAAAGAAGTAACTTATAAATAAGACCAACATTTAATCTATGTGGTTTAAGAGAAGTACTGAACTGGCAATCAGATGAATTCTAGCCTCAAAATCACTTAACCTCTTAGAGCCTCAGTTAACATTAAAAAAAAAGAATTCATTAAAAAAGAAAATCATTACGAGAAAATTTTGCTGTCTATAATAAAGCTCTGGAAAAAGCACAATGAGAAAATTAATGATTAGAGTCAAAAAATGAAGACTTCCGAACCAAACCAAAATTAGATCAAAGCATTTATTTTTTTGTGTTACAAAAACAAAAATAAATCAAAACAGGTAATGAAATAAACATTTTTAAGTATTCCATCCTGGGCTCTCTGTTCTAGAATTTAGTGAACAGTTCAGGTTTAAGTTGCTTCAACACTTCTGGATGCTATGAGGTCTCCATCTTATAACCATGTTTCTCTAGTTCAGCTCTATAAAGAAAGACAAAAGAACAACATCACTAGGCATTCTTTATGATAAAGAAACAAGATGATTTTCAGAAATAACACAATTAATAAATAAACGAGCTAACAGCCTGAACATCAATTTAAAATACTACCAAACAGTTTTACTTTAGTCCCTAAGAAGGAAACTGGATGTGCATCAACATAATGACAATAAAACTTTGTTTTCTCATTAGTAAACCTATGTTTTATATTCCTTATTTTTCTGATAAATCTATTTATGGAAGAAATGTGAGGGAATTAGTGATATTCTCCAAATACTGTATAATTATTCTGTTCATAATAAATATTTAAGCATAAATTTTAAGTATCATTAACCATATGGCTAAGAACATTAGAAACTGCTACCAAACTTTCAGGTATTTTTATAATCATACTGTTATTTATACATAAAAAAAAACAGAGATTACTTTTCATACTGACATATGTATCACCCTAACAAAAAGTTATTAATCAAATTTAAGGGTGTGTGAGAATTATTCTGTATTAACTATAAGTAGGCAAAATAAATACAGTAATATAAAGTATTAAATAAGACTTCACTTTTTTAAACTTATTATTAACTGAAGGCTAATTGCTTTACAATATTGAGTTCGTGTCTGGCATACATCAATACAAACTGGACACAGGTATACATATGCCCCCTTCCCCTTGCTCCCTCCCACCTCCCGCCCCCCCAGCATGTCACAGAGTGCTGGTCAGAGCTGCCCAAGTCAAACAGGACATTCCCACTGGCCATCTTTTTACACACGGCATATGTTTCCATGCTACTCACTCCATCCGGCCCACCATCTCCTTTCCCTTTCCTAACTTTAAATATGGATAAAATTCCAAAAACGTGTATTGGTACAAACACTTTTAAAAGATACTTTTTACAACTTTAAGTAATTTTTTCAACCTGATATTTCAGTCTTGCTGATCTGCACTGTTAAACATTTGCACAAAAAGATTTTTAGTCCTGTAATCAATTTCAGTTATTTAAGCTACCATTCCAAGTATCACCAGGAACTGATCTGCCACAAGACAATAAAATTATGTGGGGGCCAATTTATAAAACACTGTACAAATGTTAAGTATGATTAATGTACACCACCTATATCATTATATCTAAGAGAAAAAGACATTTGTTCTTAAGCATAATTTAGCTTAGACACTATCACACTATCTAATGTAAATGCAATGCAGAAATTACATGGTAGAAAAAAATACATGGTAGGAATGATATATATTATTCATTTCCCCCAAACTCTTTCACTTCCTTAAAATTTTTAGATATTTATAATATAAATACTGACCTAAAGTCCATGAATAATATTAAAGCCAGAGCTTATTCATATGAATCATCTTTGTCTTCTGCTCAGGTGTAGAGGATGATATGAGCTGGTGGTAAAACACTGGATTAGGAGTCAAGAGATCAGCACAAGTTTCTGATTCTATCCCTTCCTTTGCTAAATTTAACTAAAATGTTTGCATTCTCCCACACCCCAGGAAATTGAAGATTATAAAAACTGTCCTCCGCATGCTTCCTATTTAAAATAGATGTAATTTCTTAAACAATAGCTTCCACTGCCATTTAACAAAATCAATGTAGATTATTTATTCTCCCTTATTTTACAACTACAACAAGGAAAAAAACACCCAAGATTCAATCTAAGATTTAGGTAGTAAGTCACCAAATTCATTCAGCTTTGTGTGTCTCTTTTCCTTCATGACAGGAGGTGGAGCCCAATTATACTTATAAACTCTCTACACACAGATACCACCAGATGACCTGTGTAATCAGACTGATTATATTCTTTGCAGCCAAAGATGAAGAAGCTCTATACAGTCAGCAAAAACAAGACCAGGAGCTGACTGTGGCTCAGATCATGAACTCCTTATTGCCAAATTCAGACTTAAATTGAAGAAAGTAGGGAAAACCACTAAACCATTAAGGTATGACCTAAATCAAATCCCTTATGATTATACAATGGAAGTGAGAAATAGATTCAAGGGACTAGATCTGATAGACAGAATGCCTGATGAACTATGGGCAGAGGTTCATGACATTGTACAGGAGACAGGGATCAAGACCATCCCCAAGAAAAAGAAATACAGAAAAGCAAAATGGCTGTCTGAGGAGGCCTTACAAATAGCTGTGAAAAGAGAAGTGAAAAGCAAAGGAGAAACGGGAAGATATACCCATTTGAATGCATAGTTCCAAAGAAAAGCAAGGAGAGATAAGAAAGCTTCCTCAGTGATCAATGCAAGAAATAGAGGAAAACAATGGAATAGGAAGACTAGAGATCTCTTCAAGAAAATTAGAGATACCAAGGGAACATTTCATGGAAAGATGGGCACAATAAAGGGCAGAAATGGTATGGACCTAACAGAAGCAGAAGATATTAAGAAGAGGTGGCAAGAATACACAGAAGAACTGTACAAAAAAGATCTTCACGACCTAGATGATCACAATGGTGTGATCACTCACCTAAAGCCAGACATCCTGGAATGTGAAGTCAAGTGGGCCTTAGGAAGCATCACTATGAACAAAGCTAGTGGAGGTGATGGAATTCCAGTTGAGCTATGTCAAATCCTAAAAGATGATGCTGTGAAAGTGCTGCACTCAATATGCCAGCAAATTTGGAAAACTCAGCAGTGGCCACAGGACTGCAAAAGGTCACTTTTCATTCCAATCCCAAAGAAAGGCAATGCCAAAGAATGCTCATACTACTGCACAATTGCACTCATCTCACACACCAGCAAAGTAATGCTCAAAATTCTCCAAGCTCGGCTTCAGCAACACATGAACCGTGAACTTCCAGATGTTCAAGCTGGTTTTAGAAAAGGGAGAGGAACCAGAGATCAAATTACCAACATCTGCTGGATCATCGAAAAAGCAAGAGAGTTCCAGAAAAAAACATCTATTTCTGCTTTATAGACTATGCTAAAGCCTTTGACTGTGTGGATCACAATAAACTGTGGAAAATTCTGAAACAGATGGGAATTTCAGACTACCTGACCTACCTCTTGAGAAACTTGTACACAGGTCGGGAAGCAACAGTTAGAACTGGACATGGAACAACAGACTGGTTCCAAATAGGAAAAGGAGTACCTCAAGGCTGTATATTGTCACTCTGCTTATTTAATTTATATGCAGAATACATCATGAGAAACGCTGGGCTGGATGAAGCACAAGCTGGAATCAAGACTGCCAGGAGAAATATCAATAATCTCAGATATGCAGATGACACCATGCTTATGGCAGAAAGTGAAGACCTAAAGAGCCTCTTGATGAAAGTGAAAGAGGAGAGTGAAAAAGTTGGCTTAAAAGCTCATCATTCAGAAGACTAAGATCATGGCATCCGGTCCCATCACTTCATGGCAAATAGATAGGGAAACAGTGGAAACAGTGGCTGACTTTATTTTGGGGGGCTCCATAATCACTGCAGATAGTGATTGCAGCCATTAAATTAAAAGATGCTTGCTCCTTGGAAGGAAAGTTATGACCAACCTAGACAGCATATTGAAAAGCAGACATTACTTTGCCAACAAAGGTCTGTCTAGTCAAGGCCATGGTTTCTCCAGTGGTCATGTATGGATGTGAGAGTTGGACTATAAAGAAAGCTGAGTGCCGAAGAATTGATGCTTTTGAACTGTGGTGTTGGAGAAGACTCTTGAGAGTTCCTTGAACTGAAAGGAGATCCAACCAGTCCATTCTAAAGGAAATCAGTCATGGGTGTTCATTGCAAGGACTGATGTTGAAGTTGAAACTCCAATACTTTGGCTACCTGATATGAAGAACTGACTCACTTGAAAAGAACCTGATGCTGGGAAAGATTGAGGGTGGGAGGAGAAGGGGCCGACAGAAGATGAGATGGTTGGATGGCATCACTGACTCAATGGACACAAGTCTGAGTAAACTCCGGGAGTTGGTGATGGACAGGGAGACCTGGTGTGCTACAGTCCATGGGGTCACAAAGAGTCGGACACAACTGAGCTACTGAACTAAACTGCACATAAATAAGAAAAAGTATGTTCCCAATACCTCAATCTCCATCCCATTTTGAGTATCAACAATACATTGGGTCTGAGTACTTCATGATTCTAATTTCTGCTGAGTTGTTCAATATTGGTAGAAAATTAACAGTGACAGAATTAAACCCACAAGGATAAAAAGACAAATATGCTCCTATTTAACTACTTTTATAAAGAGACTAGAAAGAACAAAAGTTCTATGCAATTACCCGAAGAATTCATGTTTAGAAACACAAGAGATAAAGGCAATGTATCTTACTTTTCATAATTCAAAAATATTTTAAAGGTCAATTGTCATATATGTTACAAATTCCATACTTACAATACTAAGTTATATAAATTTTGACTTAAAACTTACCTTAACTGATTGGAGAAGTCATCCTCTACATTATCATCATCCCAATTATCCTCCCAGACATGTGCATCTTCATCTTCATCTAAACCAGCCCAGTCTAAAAAACAGAAACAGATGCTAAGTATTTCTCATGTTTTATTTCCATAAAGACAAAAGCTTTAGAAAGCTTGCTACTTAAGAATCTCTCAATTCAAAACATCTAAAACCATATTTATGAGAAATAGTAATCTTCCAATTTAAATTTCAATTGATGCTATCTTGTCTTCTCAATTTTTGAATTTGCAGGTAATCTAAAATAGTAGTTAATACAAAAAATTCTATTTGCCATGAAAATTTATTATAACTTCAAGAGGATATTTTACTGTTGATTTTTCCTTGAGCTTATTTTTATAAGGTTTATTACAGTCTTTCAAAACACAGAGCCAATAACACTAAAGTAAGTTGAGCAGCAGGAATATATCAGCCTGGAATTCAAAACTGCTTAAAAAAAAAAAAAAAAAAAAGATAACTCAGGGCTTCTCTGGTGGCTCAGTGGTGAGCCAGCGCCAATGGAGACGTGAGTTTAATCCCTGGTCTGGGAAGAGCCCATATACCACAGGGCAGCTAAGCCAGCATGCCACAACTATTGCGCCTGTGTTCTGGAGCCCAAGAGCTGCAGCTACTGAAGCCTGCACACCCCAGCATGTTCCACAAAAGAAAATCCACCGCTATGACAAGCCTGCTCACCACAGCTAGAGAAAAGGGCATGCAATATCAAAGAACTAGCAAAGCAAAAAAGAAATAAAATTATTTTTTTAAAAGATAACTCATACACAAATAATAAAAAGCATAATTTAATACTTTCTTAAACATGGTTGTAAAATTGTCTTAGAGAATGTTCTTATTCTTTAAGACATGCATGCTGAAATATATAAGAACCAAATGTCATTTTGTTGCGTTTACTTGCAAATGCTTCTCATACTTTGCATAGAATAAAGTATTCTACACACAGAAGTAGGTATATCATACTTTGATAGAAACAAAGTAAATATGACAAAATGTTAACTGGTGAAATGTGGATGTTTGCTGACCTTTTTTTGAGGTATAACTGACATATAACACTGTAATTGACACGTAACAGTAGGTATTAGTATACATTATTTGATATTTGTATACACTGAGAAATGATCACCACAATGAGTCGAATTAAAGTCCATCACCATGGGGAATAAATGTAAATCCATGGCTAATTCATTTCAATGTATGACAAAAACCACTGCAATGATGTAAAGTAACTAGCCTCCAACTAATAAAAATAAATGGAAAAAAAATAAAATAAAATAAAATCCATCGCCAGCATACATACCATTTTTTTTTCTTGTGATGAAGACTTTTAAGATCTACTCTCCTAGCAACTTTCAAAGATGCCACAGAGTATCACTAACTACAGTCACCATGATATACATGACATTCCCATGACTTATTTTTATGTGTACCTTTTGATCCCTTCACCCATTACACAACCCCTTTTTGTGCCCTCGAAAGCTTCTACAGGGTTAAAAGTTCCAAAATCTGAGAAAAACAGCTTTTAAAAAGCCAGTCTGGATACCACCTCTGGAAGCCTTCCTCATCCCCTCTCTTCTCTTCCTTCAGAGATAAGGCCTCCTCTTTCATGTATATCTCCATCACAACACCTACATTCTGTACAATCCTAATTCTCAGTTTATATGTCTACATCCAGAGTATCTGAGCTCCTTAAGAGTAAAAACTTTTATTTATCTCTATACTCTTAAGCTACACAATACCTGTTGTGCATATGCACAGGTGGGCTACAGTCCATGAGGCCACAGAGTCGGACACAACCAAGTAACACTTTTCAATAGTTCATGAAGGGAATAATCTCTTTTAATTTAACATAATGGCAGCAATAATAGGGAGGGGGAGACTAAGTAGATTTTTGAGCTGAAATGAAAAGGACTTAATGAATAATTGTGAGAGTTGAAGGAGAAAGGATAGCTAAGATGCCTCCCAAGTTTCTGGTTCAGGTAAATGGAAGTATTTTCTTCTGTTCATCATGAAAGTATTTTCATAATGTTGACATATGGCATTTAAAATATTTTGTTAGGTACATAATATGATAAATATAATACCAATATGAACCATTGCTGAATAGCTTAAAATCTGTATGTGCTTTACACAAAAAGCCTAACTCATTCTTTTTCTTATTGATTTTAAGATCAAAATGTTCTTAGCTATGGTTCTAGTAAGTAACTACTATCATGAATTATTAGTGGTCTTTTTCTGTCCTCCTTACTCTAAACTTACCTTTCACTGATGCCCAAAATGACCACCACTATTTCCATAAGCAACTATTCAAAACATTCAGGTAGGAAGCGTATTTTGTTAAATTTGGAACTCTAATATCTAGAGCTGAGTACTGGGCACATAGTGTGTTAGCTGCTCAGTCATGTTGGACTCTCTGTGACCCCATGGACTGTAGCCCGCCAGGCTCCTGGGATTTCGCAGGTAAGAATACTAGAGTGGGTTGCCAATCCCTTCTCCAGGGGACCTTCCTGACCCAGGGATTGAACCCAAGTTTCCTTTTATTGCACACAGATTCTTTATCATCTGAGCCACCAGGAAAGCTCAGAGTAGGCACTCAAAAAAAATGTTGGGTAAATGGAACTACATTTCTCAAGTTCTCTTCCTCTGAGTGGTCAATCTCAGGGCAGTGGGTGGTTTGAGTGGAATCAAGAGTATAAATTTCAAGACAGAAGAGATCAACAATATCATGTATTGTGAATGAGTCATGTAAAATTCTCAACTGTATTTACTGTAAGAATACATGGTCATCTCTTTGAGTGCTCCCTGAAGAGACATCATGTGGGAAATTTCTTTAAGACATCAATGCCTGAAAAGCTGGAAGTTTCTCTCAGGCAATTTATCTCAGGCCCCTAGGAGACTCGGGCAAATGTACTGGCAATGGCAACGTGTGTGCTCGCTTGTGTTTCAATCCTCTCTACAGGGTAGTGAATAAGGCCTTCATTAGTAAGCTTTCAATAATCGAAAACTGATTTTTATCTGCATAAATATTTTTGTATATTCCAGTTTTATTATTCTCAAAGAAGTATTTTTAATGATCTAAATTCAAATCCTATTTACTATTCTGAGGTCTTTAACAACAGCAATACTTAACAATACTAAATATTAACTACATCTCAAAATTAAGTTGACTGGGCTAGACAGAGATACCCTTACATGTTCTCCTTCCTTACAGAAGTACCTTTCAAATTGAAAGTTTTTATTCTATTTATGAATCCACCTACAGTTTATAGTGAGTACAGATTAAGAAGTTAGAGAAAAGAAAATCACACTCAGGATTTCCTTCAGTCTAAGGAAGAGCAATCAGAAAGCTAATGTAACCAAATTTGAAAAAAAAATAGTGTATCGAGGGACCTCCGAGGAGGTTCAGTGGTTATGACTCTGTACTTCCACTGTAGAAGGCAGAGATTCCATCCTCTGTCAGAGAACAAAGTCCTGGAAGCCACAGTTTGGCCAAAAAAAAAAAAAGGATATCTATTTCCAAGGTTAAAGATTAAAACAAAACATTTCTGAATATTCATAAACAAGCAAACTGGCTTCATTAAGTCAAGAGTTAATAGTTAGGTATAGGGATAAAAGAATACTGTTACTCTCATATTGTCACTGCAATCAATAATAAACTGTTTACTCTCTAAATTCTTATATACAAATTTTCTTTTTGTTCTTCTAAGAGCAAAGAAATCTCAAAAAGAAGGGAGCTGTTTTAAGACAAAAATAAAGGGGACAGAAATTGCAGCATTAAGTATACAACAGAAACATTAAGATGGTATGGGTTGCAGCCTGAGATCAAATTTTAAATTAAAAAGGAGCTCAAAGAGTAGATATATTTCTCTAATACTAAATCACTAAAAATCAACCTCATGATTTTATCTTTTAACTAAAATTCAATAAGGCACTTCAAATCACAGAAATTCAAATTCTTGCATGTTGAACTTATAATGGAAAAATGCAATCCATTATCTCTTTTATGACAAACCTAGACAAGTGTTAAAGAGCAAAGACATCACTTTGCCAACAAAGGTCCATCTAGTCAAGGCTATGGTCTTTCCAGTAGTCATGTACGGATGTGAGAGCTGGACCATAAAGAAGGCAGACCGCCGAAGTATTGATGCTTTTGAACTGTGGCGCTAGAGAAGATTCTTAAAGAGTCCCCTGGACTGCAAGGAGTTCAAACCAGTCAATTCTAAAGAAATCAACCCTGAATATTCATTGGAAGGACTGATGCTGAAGCTGAATCTCCAATAATTTGGCCACCTGATGTGAAGAACTGACTCAGTGGAAAAGACCCTGATGTTGGTAAAGCTTGAAGACAGGAGGAGAAGGGGACACAGAGGATGAGATGGTTGGATGGCATCACCGACTCGATGGACATGGGTTTGGGTAAACTCCAGGAGTTGGTGATGGACAGGGAAGCCTGGCATGCTGTAGTCTATGGGGTCATGAAGAGTCGTACATGACTCGGCACCTAAAAAACACCAAAATCCCTTTCATCGTAAGTGAATAATGACTATAAAATGTTATTTGTCCTCATCCCCTCCAGTCTTCCTATAACCTATAGCTCTGAGCTATCTAATAATGTTAATGGACGGCTTAGGATTTTTTTGTTTCTTGATTTAATTACACTAACACCTTCCAGTATAAAAAATTCATACAAAATCACTTCATTAAATCAATGTAGCAAAGTTTGGCTTTATACCTCAAGTTTTTATAAAATGACTGAAGATTATTTAAAATTTCAGAATTTTGGAAACAGAGAAAGCCATAGAGATCACTATATAGCATACCCCTCTTTGGAAATCACCACCATTACCACTAACCCCCCCCCCAAAAAAAAAAAGAGAGAGAGAGAGAGAGAATGAAGACTATTTCACAAAAAAGTATTTATTAACTTTTTTTCTAACATTATTTCATGACCTCAACTTCCAGACTTTAAATATACTTGAGTTAAGTGTAGAAATAGGAATTGTCAAAAGAAGCATCTATTTTACTAATATTTTAAAGAATCTTTATAAAGAT